GGTTTTACTAAAAGAATAGTAAACACTACATCGTAGTTATTTGTGACATACAAAATACGAAAAGGAAAAGATTATATTTATAAGCATTCGAAAGATAAACTTACCATAGTTGAGTTTTATATACTCTTCCTTTCATTGATACGCTTCGAGCCACAGTTTTCATAGTTCATACTTTTTGGGAAAATAATACACAATACATAAGTATAATTTTCCCTGTTACTACGACCGGTTCGCCTCTTACAATTTTAAACGCAACAAACATTTTAAGAACTAATGTCACTCTGTCATTTAAAACGAAACTCAATAAGCAGCTACATTGAATTTCGCATAAAAGCTCAAAGCGGTTATTGGTAATTGGTTGACTGTCCCTCAGTACCTTTGACCTACTGCGCATCCATCGGAATGGTTCACCTTTCTTCTTACACCATGGTACAAAGATAACAATATTAAAAGATCGCGCAATTGCAACTGCATCGTGGAATTTACGAAAAAAAAAAATGGAATTGAAAAATAGATATTATATCATTCAACTTTTGATTGTAATTCTTTTCAATATAAACTATTTCGATAGAATGGATGTTAAAACTATAAATTTGAACGCGCATAGATAAAGAGATTTGTCTGTTGGTCTTCATGCTATGCAGATAATCTATCGCAAGATGTTATCATGTTTCTGAGGGCATACAATATGTAGGAAATATTAGGAACAGGAACAAATATTAAATTTTGGAAATGAAAATTTGAAATAAAAGTTACATGTAACGCACGATGAACGACTTATTATTTAAAATATCAAATAGAAATCAAAAATAATGTGTTAAAATTTAAGTTTTAATAATAAGCTTGTAATAATAATAAGTTGTAATAATTTAATCATTACAAATTAACTGATTCATTTTAAAATTAATTCATTCAAAACAGTTAAAAATACTGAAAAATATTAAAAATTACAGAATATATTTACAAATGCAAAGTTTAAACTGAAAATTATCTTGCAACAACAATATGTATAAATAGTAATGTATAAATAGAAATAAAACGTCTTCGAATTTTTGAAGTATATAAATAAAATTTTTAAAATATATAAATAAATAGAATTAATAAGAGTTTGTAGAAAAAGATAAAATTACAAATATTTTTCTAATAAAAAGATTATAGATCATTTGTTCCCCTTACGTCACATTACGTAATACATAAAGTTTTGGAGTCAACTTTCAAGCTCAGTAAATAGGGGAGTTAGCAGTGTAGTGAATAGTATAAATACTATGTTAAAAAGCTGTGACGTTGGGGTGAGGAGCGTTATCCATGATGTATTGAGTTTGATGACGGAAAAAGATGTTGGCCGTGGTGAGATTCGAACCTAAGTCTTCAGGGATCTAAGACTTGGCGCGCTACCACTGCGCTATGCGGGCCATGATTCATTTTGTGGATGCTTTGGTAGATATTAGGTGTGTTAGCGAGGGACACATTGCATGTGAAAAATTGTAGTGGTATCGTAAGGTCGTAAGCGAATTGACCAATCGATTATTTTTAGACTGTAAGGAGAATAATTGATTCTGATTGGTCAATTTGCTTATGATCTTACGGTTACGATTAAAATTTTTTCACGTGCAATGGCCTTTACAAGCGCTCCATGTGTTATCATTCTTTAGGCTGGATCCTTATGCAGACACCGGCGCTTTAACTACCAACGTTCAAGCGCTGTTTCAAATGTTGAGCATCGACCATTGAGAGCTGTTCAATTGGAAATATTCGAAGTAGTAATTTTTATCTAATTTTATTGATCCATAGATATAGTATAGATAAACCGAACATGCTATATATCAGGCGATGGGCGACATGTGCGAGTGAGAAGAAACAACACCTGATTTTTTTCTCTCTCTCTAATAGAAGAAGATGGGGGAAACATTAAGTGGGGATTGTGTCTATTACTACATTTACACAGCGACGTTAAATCGGTTTAGTAACAACCGATTAGTTAGTGAAATCTTGCGTTCGATTGGTGTATTCTTTTAAATCTAAAATATGCTCCAATTAAATGCAGGAAATCACTAACTGCGATTGTTAATCGGTTTAACGTCGCCGTGTAAACGTAGTATATGATAGGGATCATACACCCAAGTGGGGAAAATCCCCACTTAATTTCTCCCATCTTCTTCTATCTAGAGAGAAAGAGAGCATGCTCGGTCTATCTATGCTATGAAAGGAACGCACCCTTAAAATCCACTTGGATGATTATACAGTAGCCAATCATCTTCCGCTATGTACTATTATTCGCAAAAAAAAAAAAACGTAAACTGATTGGCCACTGTATGGACATGCGAATTTCGCATCTGCATTTTCTGCAACGCAACGATATGCAGCTGGATGTAGGAGACAGTTAGGGAACAGTTCGTAGAGTTCTGATCTGTCAAAAAAATTGCGTTCTGTATATATCGACATAATAATAACGCAACGTAAGGAATCGTAGAGAATGCCATAATTATCATAATTGTTTACATCAATTAGAATATTATTATCGTACTATTGTGCACACGCCATTGAAAATATTATAATTAATTTGGCCCACGTTCAATCACACGATTTAATTTACTTGTGTTCGCGAAGGTACTTCTAATGTATGCATAATTTCACGTAAGTTTATTTAATACATTGTTGCTGTGGTTGGTAATATGATTGGATAAATCATTTATATACTTGCTAGATGTAATAATGTGTGAATGTCACGACGGTTTTTCTCAGGATGGCATCCGAAGACGTCAATTCTCATATAACAGTTTCTTCGGAAGAAACTGGACAACCTGTTACCAATACCTTGCAGCAAGAGAGTAGTAACAAGGATGCAAGTTCAGCCAAGCCACAGACTCAAGTAAATCGAACGAGCAATCTTCAAAGAATACATCAACGCAAACAGCAGACGTACAGTTGGCCGCAAGAAAAAAATTGTTGAAACTTGCGAATTATAGCGCCTGTCAGGCAGAGTGTATGCGTAAGTGTACGGGTTGGAAAAATGCTCAGCCGATCACACGATCACCAAAGGGTGAAATTCAGCAGCCTGTTATAAACTTATCCGATCCATGCAAAATGTGCGATCATTCTTTAGAAAATCATATTAAGCATCTGCCAGTTCAGTCTGACGAAGAAATCAACAGATTACTAGGAATGGCTATCGATGCTGACAATATTTTTGCATGTATGCATAGGGAAGTAGATCCCGATACTAGAAAAGTATATATTTATTTATATAGGTTATTGAGGAATTGCATCTTGTCAATGTCAAAGCCAGCTGTGGAAACTTCTATAGGACAGCCCCCATTTGAAAGACCTAACATAACGAAAGCAGTAATGAATTTTGTCTTATATAAATTTAGCCATCTATCGCAAAAAGAATGGCAAGTTATGTGTGACATGGCAAAGATGCTTATACACTGCCTGAACTTTTGGAATTTTGAAGCACCTAGTGCTAGACGGTTAACAGTTAATGCTGATGAAGCTGCTACCTATAAACTTAATTATACACGTTGGCTCGTCTTTTGTCATGTACCTGCATTCTGTGACTCCCTGCCACATTATGACACGACTTTAGTTTTTGGAAAAATTCTGTTACAAGCTGTATTTAGATCAGTTTGTAGACAATTAATGGATAAATGTAATAATGAAAGAGATAAAATAGCACCAGAGAAAAGAGTTTTAGTTTTAACACATTTTCCCAAGTATGTTTCATATTTCCTGTTTCTCATATTCATATCTTATTTTATAGATAGATCAAGATTTATAATTCATCAAGAATTATAATCTTTTATATTTAAGGTTTCTTTCATCATTGGAAGTAGAGATTTATTCAGATAATTCACCTATTTGGGATCCTGAATTTAAACAACCTCCACCTGCTCATTTTCAAACTGCCCTGGAATCAAAGGGACATCAGGCAAGGAAAACGGGAGAATTCGAAAAGGTTACCGTCACTCCAAATGAAAAAGATAATTTTACAACAATAAATATTAGTCCTGGAATTAAGAAAATGCAGGAGAAACGCTCAAACACCGAAGGACGCCTTGACGCAAAGAAGCAAAAGAACGAAGAAACTTTTGAAGATTTGCCAGATGAGACCATTGCTGAAATTGTTGCATCTATTAATGACACTAATTATATGTCTCGTTCTGATGCAGTATTCCCACCAAATGTGCCACGGGACGAAACTGCAAAAATAGAAGAAAGTAAAAAGATAATAGAGTTTCATGTAGTTGGAAATAGCCTTACACGACCGGTATCTAAGCAAACTATGCTTTGGCTGATAGGATTACAAGATGTATTCAGCCATCAATTACCAAAAACACCCAAAGAATATATTACTCAATTGGTTTTTGATCCGTAAGTAACAAAAACCTCAACGTTAAATAATTTTAAATGTCAACATCAAGTTTTAAATAGAAGGATATTATTTTGTCTTATAGGAAGCATAAAACGCTAGCTTTGATAAAGGATGGTCATCCGATTGGTGGTATTTGTTTCTGCATGTTTCCAAGTCAAGGCTTCACAGAAATAGTATTCTGCGCTGTTACAAGTCATGAACAAGTAAAAGGTTACGGAACGCATTTAATGAACATGTTGAAAGATTATCACATCAAAAATAATATACTACATTTTCTTACATTCGCGGATGACTATGCTATTGGATATTTTAAAAACAAGGATTTAGCAAAGATATAAAACTGCCGAAATCGATGCACGAGGGATATATTAAATATTATGTAGGAGCGACACTGATGCATTGCGAGCTAAACCCAAAAATTGTATACACCGAATTTACAGCAGTTATCAGAAAGCAGAAGGAGATTGTGAAAAAGCTAATTCACCAAAGACAACAGGAAATACAGAAAGTGCACCCTGGTTTGACCTGTTTCAAGGAAGGTTTGAGGGGAATTCCTATCGAGTATATCCCGGGAATTCATGAAACCGGATGGAAAAGTTGTGCTCAAACCAGAACGAGAGGTGTGACGAAAGGAATGCAGGGTCCAGAACAGTTGGACACGAATTTAGAGGTGCCAGAGTCTCTATGCAATACATTAACTAGTGTTTTGAATAGTGTGAAAAAACATAGCACAGCGTGGCCTTTTCTGAAACCCGTCGATAAAAATGAGGTTCCAGATTATTACGATCACATAAAATATCCTATGGGTAAGTTTGAAAAAAAATGTCCATATATTTGATTTATTAAAATCGTGTACATCCATACCTGTGGATATAATTGTGGAACAAACATACCGAATGTAAATGGAGATGTATTTATTTTTATTACAGATCTTGAAACGATGGAAGACCGTTTAAATTCGGGATATTATGTAACTAAGAGATTGTTTATAGCAGACATGTTACGGATTTTCACTAATTGTAGATTGTATAATAGTTCCGACACTGATTACTACCGTTGTGCCAATGCCTTGGAAAAATACTTTCAAACGCGTATGAAAGAGGTCGGACTCTGGGATAAGTAAAACTTTTAAGACTGTTATAATAATGATAATGTTGGCAATTGATACTTCCTAATTTATTCTTATTAAGAAATACTATTACTTTATAAAGAAAGTCCATATCTTGAAATCATGCTGTTTTTTGTCGTACAGCATTTGTATATAAAAGAATAAAAACTAAAATATATATAAATATATATATATATATATATATATGGAAATGTATGTCGCAGAATATCTACAACTAAAACAAAACAAAGTTTCCCAGTGATATTGTACGTTTTTCTTTCATTTGTTGAATTATTTTAAATCTGTTTATAATCATATTCATCGTAAATATATTAATTTATATTTTTTGTTTTTAATTAATTTCTCTATATTTTAGTTAATCTCTTTGCTATGCATCTCTCGTTAATTTAATATATTTATGAATAAATGGTATATATATGGATGGATGTGTACATATAGCTGCGAAAAAGGTATTGCTTGTCTACTTTTAATAATGTATTTCATATATTGATTGCGCGAATGCTTTATGCATGTGGCCTTTTTGCTACGTTATATTATGCAGCATTATGATGTTAAAAATATCAAGAATGGTTTATGCAAAAACTTTAGACTGAAGTGAGTACTTAATTTCACAGCCTAATTAATATCATTAGTCGAGCAGTTAATTAATTATAATTAAGGAGCGTAATACAGCAATTATAAAAATGCTCTAGTGGGCGATCAGTCTACGGAACAGTGATTCTCTGCAATGCGCGTTGGTTTGTAAAGTATCCTTAAAGGAATAAAGCTTGTTATGTAGAAATCATGTGAATGAAATAGAATAACAGCATTCAAATTTGTGTTATATCGAAATTTATATGTATATATATATATATTTAATGTTATCATATATTATATTTTAACAATTCTATGATATGTGGTAAAAAATTTATCTTTAACTTTCAGAGAGATATAGTTATATTTACATTTTTCTGAAAATGATATATATATGATTGTTTTTCAAATACGTTTCATAAAATCGCAGGCGGTTCGATTACCTATTTTGAGAAAAATGCACACGTTTATAAGAGACAATTTAGAACTATTAAGGCATTTCAGCCTGTTAACCTTATGAGCTTCCCTTATTTTCTTCGTTTCTTGTTTAATTTTGTTAATCCATAACTCTGACATATATGGAGAAGAATTATTGAACGAGTAATATGATTACGTTCGTATTATAAGACCATGTCGGTTCGACTTATTTTACTTATCAGAAATCTATTTTTATATGGATTGCAATGAGAGATGGCATTTCGTTATTTTTAATTAAAATTTATTCATTTGGAAAATTTTTGCAAACGAAATTACACATTCCTCGTATTATGTCTAAGAAGATTGCTAGTCTAGTGCTAAAGAGATTTGCAGAAAGATCAATGCGACTGCTGGAACGCAGGAAAACGTATGCTCTAATTATCGCGAGAACTTCATGTTTATTGAGGATAACATTATATGCAGTAACTGCCAGTTATAATTGGCATACATTAAGAAGCAATTAAATGTTTTATTAAAAAAGATGTACATATATTCTCTAAAGAATCAGAAATGCACGAAATAAAAACTATTTATTGAATTCCATTGCTTTTCATATGTGGTAAAAATGGTAAAAAAAAAAAAAAATACACGATTGTAATACATATATTGTATTCCACATTATATCATACTTATTTTTCTTTTTCTCTCTAAGAGTGAAACATATTTTTAAATATATATTGTTATTCAAATATTACCTATGCGCATGTTATTTTTAATATTATCAAAAGCTGAATTATATATTTGCTGATTATATTCATGATATATTATTGATATATTTGTAATTCTATGTAATCGCAAATTTATAAACAGTCGATTTTATCAACTTATATAAAGTTTTCGTTTATATTTTAATAAGTAAAAAATGTTCTTTTTACATTTACTGTAAATAAAATCAGTGAACTCAAAATGTTGATGTTCGTTTCTAAAGTGACCAGTAAAAACAGATAGACGTGTGCATGGATCTGTCGGCAGAAGGAGGGGAGCTCATATAAAGCGACTCTTCTGGGAAGAAACGCAATGCTCCAGAAGTCAATGTCACGCGAGAACGTTGTAATATCTAGTCTTTTGAATTTACTCGTCGTCTCTCGGTCTACCTATTGCAAGCGTAATTTGTAATCTCGCTTTGATATCGTAGAGTCATTTTTATAAAACTATTTCAAAATGTGCGACGACGACGTGGCTGCGTTGGTGATTGACAATGGATCGGGAATGTGCAAAGCCGGATTCGCTGGGGATGATGCTCCTCGAGCTGTGTTTCCCTCCATCGTTGGAAGACCCCGATATCAGGTACAAAAATATACATATTTGATAGTATAATTTACATGAATTGGACATTGGATATTGTATTTTAATCAAAATTATTTCTTTTTCAGGGGATCATGGTCGGCATGGGACAGAAGGATAGTTATGTGGGCGATGAAGCGCAGAGTAAACGGGGAGTTCTCACTGTCAAGTATCCCATAGAGCATGGTATCGTCACCAATTGGGACGATATGGAGAAGATCTGGCATCATACATTTTACAATGAGCTGAGAGTTGCGCCGGAGGAGCATCCCGTCCTACTGACGGAGGCTCCTTTGAATCCTAAAGCCAATCGTGAGAAAATGACGCAAATCATGTTCGAAACCTTTAATACTCCAGCTATGTATGTCGCTATTCAAGCTGTCCTGTCCTTGTACGCGTCGGGACGTACAACCGGTATCGTATTGGACAGCGGCGATGGAGTGTCTCATACAGTACCAATTTATGAAGGTATTTGTCTCTTGTTGACTGTGACTGCTATCTTATGATATGCCATCATTGTTGCATAATCTAAAAAAAAAAAAATTATTCATCAATTGATATCGCAATGTATTTTTCTTTGTCTTCAGGATATGCCCTGCCTCATGCAATTTTGCGTTTGGATTTGGCCGGTCGCGACTTAACAGATTATTTGATGAAAATTCTGACAGAGAGAGGCTATACCTTTACAACTACCGCTGAGCGTGAAATCGTACGTGACATCAAGGAAAAATTGTGTTATGTAGCTTTGGATTTTCAACATGAAATGGCAACAGCTGCCGCATCGACTGCATTAGAAAAGAGCTACGAATTACCCGATGGCCAGGTAACGTATTATTTGATTCGATTTCTTGAATACTACATAATTAACGAAGGATTTCTTTTAACTAATAATCAAAATTTGTATAAAACTTGTATAAAAAAGATTGTGTGTGTGTGTGTGTGTGTGTGTGTGTGTGTGTGTGTGTGTGTGTAGAATCTTGAGAGAGAGAGAGAGAGAGAGAGAGAGAGAGAGAGAGAGAGAGAGAGAGAGAGAACACTAGAATTTTTTAATACGAAATTTTTTAATTAAAATACTTTATAGAACGATTTTTAAGCCAACTTAAAATTGACATAAAGAAATATATCTGCAGTCTCTAAATGTAATGACGACGATAATGGAAGGAGTGTACGTTAATTAGCATTAATCGCATTTGCGTCGAGCGAGCGTTAACTCGTCATGGGTTGTCTGGCCGCACGGTCAGTGGACGAAGACGTAACGGGTAACGGTTTGATTCCAGGTCATCACAATCGGCAACGAGCGCTTCCGTTGTCCGGAAGCGATGTTCCAGCCGAGCTTCCTGGGCATGGAATCTTGTGGCATACACGAGACGACGTACAATTCGATTATGAAGTGCGATGTTGACATTCGCAAGGATTTGTATGCTAATTCGGTGCTATCGGGCGGCACTACCATGTATCCGGGCATCGCCGATCGGATGCAAAAAGAGATAACGGCGCTCGCGCCGCCCACCATGAAGATCAAAGTGATCGCGCCACCCGAGAGGAAGTACTCGGTTTGGATCGGTGGTTCTATCCTCGCCAGTCTGAGTACGTTCCAGCAGATGTGGATCTCTAGGCAGGAATACGACGAGTTAGGACCCTTCATTGTGCATAGAAAATGTTTTTAGGTATCTTGATGTTTTTAAAACGCCATCATCGCTTTCCGATCGATTAGTGGGAATCCCTTATGGGATAACTGAAACAATATTTATTTCTTGAATAATAATTTTGCTTATATATTTTCTTATCCTTCGACTAAAAATAATTTTCTACTTGCCAGTAATATTTTTATTTTTTAACGCGCATAGTTTCTCATTTCTGAAGTATCAACACGTGATTACTACGAATGATTGATTCGAGCATTGTCGATTCTCATCGCATCCGCACATTTTTTGAAAATGGTTTAAAGATGAATATTTTTATTTTTTTAAACATTCGAATATTTGGGACTTTGCGTACATCAACAAAGAGCCATTAATTCAATATTTTTTTTTATTTTTTAAAATGTATTCGATGTTATATTACATAATAGGACGTTAAGGCGAATATGACATTAGAGAGCCTAGTTTTCCCTATGTCCCTCTTCAAAATTTTCGTACAACTTTTGACACATAATACATCTTCCAATATAACAAAATTTCTTTTTTCTTTTTATATATTAGAAAATAATAGTTTATGTATTTTTTCTCAGAGCATTTGTATCACGTATATATTTATAGATGTACTAAGAACTCAATTGGTAATTCCACAGCTAGAAAAGATATCATTTACAAGATTATAATTACATTCGTAGTATCATAGCAGCATCTAATGCCGTTTTTGTTCATGAAGTCATCTAATAGTTTTTCACGGACGGTTAATATATTATCTTACAGAGAATATATATGTGTGTGTGTGTGTGTGTGTGTGTATACATACACACATGCATACATATATACGTATGTCACACGCGCGCGCGCACACGCGCCACACACACACACACACACACACACACACACATTATATATATATACATACATACACACTTTAAAAAGTAGAACGTAAAAAAATTTTCTCTAAGAAAAAATATATACAATTTTCATTTTCATTCATCCAAGATAAATTATTATGGATTAGATATCTTAAAAGTTATATGATATTCAGCAGATTAAAATATGCGAAAATAATGTTATCTGCTCGAAATATCATTCATGTCAATTTCTTATAGATACAATTATAAGAACTACAATTTTTCTACAATGTGAATAAAATTGAACAAAATTATCACAAATCATCTCAGATAGAATACAATATCAAAATTAGACAGTTTTGGATTGTGACAGATCTGTAAAATAATTAATGATAGGTGTACGACAATACCAATATTTGAAAATCACGAACAAAAAATTTGTAAAAAATTAATATATATACAATTTTAATTGTCCAATATATGATACGTACCAAGTTAGTATATCTAAATTTTAAACTAATCTGATTGTGCTAGAAAATACTCGACGAGTCTTGTACTTCGGATCGATGAAATTGAGTTATTAGTCACGACATCAGTGATTTTACAATCGTTTACAATGTCCGAAGTTATCCGCTTATTTTTTTCAGATTTTAGCTTTTAGCATTTAGTGTATCTGGGAGCAGGGAAATAGCGCTGTACTGCCGTTCATAATAATCTTATTTGTAATTCGATAGATTTATAACATTCAAATCATATAAAAAAAAGCGTTTTAGTTTAGTTTTACAGATTTCTCCGACATGATTGATTTTCTTAGTAAAGAGATCCACGAAAGTTATTTCATTAGGCCATCAAATTTTCGCGAAGCAAATTTTAATTACGTTAAAAAATCTGTTATTGAGAGGAAGCGCGTATTTTCTGTGAAATTCTATACAATAAATACATTTGTACTGTAAATTTTAGAATTAACCAAACAAAATGTGTTTGCACAATGATTAACTTTTCAAGAATTTTTACCTTTTGATATTAAAACTATTGTTGAAACTATTACATAGAATTGATAAAGTACTAAAAAAAAGCTACACAAGATTTAAAAATTCATTATATTCTTTCGTTACGTAACATTGTTTTATAACATATTTTTATGAAGTATATATCATTAATACATGTAGTTTCGTTAACGATTTTTTTTTATACTAGGAAAGAACGTATTTAATTACAAAAATAATATAAAGGACTCCATATAGTTAGAGCAATCGAAAAGTTTTGCAAATATCAATATTGTCAACTCACTGAAAATGGAACAGAAGTTTGATCTGGAGTTGAAAAATGTTTAATATGCCAGTGGTGTCATGTGTGTACATACTCAGTTATATAAATAAAATGACCAACACCGACTACGAAATGTAGAATAGTTGTATCAAATATATATTGACGATGAATTTTACTTAAATAACAAAAATGTAGAAAAAATAGATAAACTATATTGCATATATTCAAAAAGTTAATAAAAATATCTTTGGTGCCCCTGCTTCAAAATGAAAAAGCGCTGTTTCAATTATGGCATGAGAGGGAGCAATAGTATTTTCAAATGTTTAAAACTGGCGATACCAATAAAATCAGGTTTGTCCATCTTTATAAAAATTTATATCCCCTAAACTTTTCTTCTACCTGTAGATTTTCTTCTACCTGTTGAACGTTTAGGACGTCGACACTTTATTCGCGTTATACTCGACCAGGGTAAAGAGAATTCACTGGAAAGTAAAAATTATGTTAGTTTTCAATGTAATGCACTTGCAAAATCTATACATTTAAGAAATGCACTTCTTACCTTGGAGTAAAACTAGGAATAGGAGCGCCAAATGCAGTTACTGGCAAATGAGAATCTACTTGAAGACTTTGAATTTGTTCTATGTCAGGCCACAAGGATGTTATGGTTTCTTCCTCCAGAGATGAGGGACAAGGACCAGTATGATTAGTATTGTAACAAGTTGCTTGATGATTTTGCCGTTCCTGCCGCTGCTTTAATTTTTCTATATGTCTTTGTTCCCTAACGATACATCATTAAATTAAAAAATATAAATCAAATTATGACAAAGAAAAAAATTGCAAATGTATTTCACAAACCTTATCCTTTGTACATCCCATCGCTTTCGCCTCCTTTCATCATTCTCTAATTTCAAGTGTCTTTTATTAAAAATTTCATCATCCAAATTTTCAGTTCCCTCCATTGTATAACAACTCGTGTACACTTTCACTCTCCAATTTGGAACTTCTAACGAATGATTCGTTTCTATTGGACTGGACTGTTTCAGACTTAGGGTATAATTTGAATCTCCTACCGCTGTATAATAATGTTCTTCAGTCGTGAGAAAAGATTCTTTTTTCACAAGAGATTTCACCTTCCTATCGCTCTTTCTGCTGCTTTCATGTAAAGTTTGACCCAAAATCTTTTCCTGTACACCATCGTTACTGACAGTAGATGAACACGAGAGGCCTCTTTTCTTTTTACTACCCGTCGACAAGGGAGTTGGATCCGATCGCCTCTTCTTCTTTTCTTCCCATTCAAATCTTGCCTCCTCTTGCTTCAATTCCACTTTAATTTGATTATCGAGCGGCTCCTGTTTCACCGTAGTGATACCGCCGCTAGTGTTTAGACGTATCTTAAAACTCTCGTGCAAAGTGTTGCCACTCTCGCATTGAACATTCCTATGTAACTCACTGGTCGAAGGTATATTTATCGAATTGATACTGGTAGGCGAGCAGGCGCCCAAGTGTTCCGAGCCCGTGGAATTTTCGCTACATTCGGATCTTAACTTCTGAAGATTCACTCGCCTTTCCATACGTTCCAGACGCAACTTCAGCTGCAACAGATCAAACAAAATCGTCGTTCCATAATCGACGCGATATTTATCGTTCTCATACGCAGAGATTAAAACGTTATTTACACTTCTCGTGTACGGCCCGTACACGGTCCTCCTCTCCTCGCAAATCATATTGCAATTAAATCGTTTTGCAAAAATCGTCTCGATGTCGTTACCCTCGCGCCCGCGGCATCAAGGAGGTTAATTCGATGGACCCGCGCGCTCCGCCATTCGCGCTCCGTTAATACAAGGCGAATGTACCGCCCACCGGTCGCAATTCCGACCAGCGGACCACCGATCCGCAAGCTTATGGTTTCCCAATCGCAATACAGTCGTACTATGTCGTCGTCAAATGTCGCGACCGTAATTCTTTCTTCGATCCAACTGTCATTTTCAAACCGCGAAAACGCGCAACAACAAGACGTCGTCACTCCCGCGAAGAAAATTCACACGTCTCTCTGTCTCTCTCTCTCTCTCTGGACGCGCGATCTCAATGCGGAAGTAGCGCCACCACGTGTTGACACGGTGCAAGTTGACCTTCACGGTCAACCTGTTCCCCGCATGGTACGTTTAGGTTAGGTAAGCCGCGCGAGAGAGAGAGAGAGAGAGAGAGAGAGAGAGAGAGAGAGATTGACACCCGCGTGCATGTGCGCGACGCGCGTTTTTACAAAATGGTGCCAAAATCATCGATGGCGTTTCGTAGCCGGAAAAAGAGCGAGACTGGCTGGCTAGCTGGCGGGCGGGCGGGCGAAACGAACGAACGCGCGGACAGACGGACAGACGGATGGATGGGCGGATGAGAATACGACGTTCAGGTAAGGGCGGCGTGCTCAAACCTTTTTATTTATGATCGATGACGACCGTGCGAAGTGCGAAAATGGACCGACGCTCGGAGCTACATGACATGTCCAATCTTCTCGCGATTCTCACACGGACATTGCGAGTGAATGTAGAATCGGAGTTTTTTTATCGTCAGATGACAGCGGAATAGGAGACAATGCTATTTCGTGAATTCGAATCCGAATATTTCATCTCGTTATAGATTTTTTCGCATTTTGCATTTCTGCGAATGTTTCCTAACGTGGTCTCGCGATTCGAGAATAAAATCTGTCGAGTTTTATAGGAATCTCTCGACTGTGCTCCGAAATTGTTGTCTCGAAATTGTTGTCACTTACATTTTCTATCGAGTATACATGATGCAATTATCGCGGGCGCTTACGCAAAAAGTGGATGATGGCGGATGAAACGGGATTGAGGGACGAATCGAGTTTTTAAATCGAAAATCTCTTGCTCGATGATTCATCACGACTCATCACTTTACCTCTTATTCCGCAACATCTTTGATTTAAGGTTAAAGCAATTGCACTTTTGGAGCTTAAAAAATTCGTTGGGTTAAAGTAAATCTCCGTACAGCTGGCGAACTCACAACTTACGATAACCAAGGAATCGAATGACCGAGAATTGAATGAGGTAGATGAGTTAAAAAGAATCAAGTCTCTAAAATTAGTCTCCAAAATTGACTCCAAAAAATCGGTTTCATTTTACAAATATAAAAACTTGGGAATCAGAGACAGATTTAAATATTTTTCTGTTTGTTTATCTGATGTTGACGTCATCACAGCCATAATTAAATCACCGCGAAAAAGAGCATATGTAAAAATAGCGCGTACGATAGAACTCCATTTCAGCAGATGATAAATTTGTGATAAATCTCCGAATGAGTCTCAATTTCTCGAGATCGAGATCTCACACAAGTTTGCAGAATATTTTTCTTGAATTTCACAATCCGTTAGGAAAGAAGAGAAGGACAGAAAGAGGGGGGGAGAGAGAGAGAGAGAGAGAGAGAGAGTTTTTCGCCCGCGAAAATTGGAGCAAGCGCATCGTCCAGGACGCGTACCGTCTCGTTTTCCTGACGCAGCGCAGCGAGAAGCTTGTCCTTGGTGACGATCTGCTCGGACTGCTGCTGAATAAGATCGAGATGCAGCAGCAGCAGCTCCTTCAGGTGTTTGACCTCGGTGAAATCATTGTGTCGGGGTTCATTGCCGCGCAGCGGGCTAACGCCGAGAGCGACAGTCGCGGCGGCCGGCGCAGCGCCGTCGGTCATGCTGGCGTACATATGATCAAAGTCGCATGGGAAACTGAGAATACCAGCGGCTGCGGTATGGCTGGCGATGGCGGTGGTCGTGCTGGCGGTGTTTTTGTCATTGTCACCGTCCATCTCCTGGAATTCTTGATTGCGCGCGCTGGTACATCCACCGCTGCTGTTGTTATTGTTGTTGCCGTTGGTTCCGCTTCCGATGTTGCCCATCGTCATCATTGCGGAAGGATTGTTGCCGCCGGCATTTGTGGTAGTTGTCATCATAACCGATGATACCGAGGAGGAGGACGAGGAGGAAGAGGAGGAGGAGGAGGAGGACGAGGATGACATCGCGACGGTATTGTTGCTGGCGCGGATGGCGTTCGCTACTGCCGGCGATGACGACGTTGTCGTCGTCGTTGCGCTAGACGGGTGCTCGTTCATCGCCGCGACCATGTTGCCGCGATTGTAGTAGCGACGGTAGTTTTCGTCGTTTTCGTCGTTCTCGTCGTCTTCGTCGTCCTCGTTGTCGTTGTCGTTATCGTCGTCGTCGTCGTCGTCGTCGGCGTCGTGGAACGACGGCGCGACATCAACAATGAGGACGGTGGTGGAGTTGCTGTTGTTGCCGCTTCTGCTTCTGCCGATCGTTTGAGCGTCGGTGCTACCGGCATCAAGCAGGAGCAACGGCGTCGTCGTTGTCGTCGTCGTTGCTGCTGTCGTTGTCCCGGCACTGCTCAGCGTGATGTCACGGCGGATTGTCGTCGTCGTTGCCGTCGCCGTCGCCGTCGCCGCGACAACGTCGTCGGGCGCGTGCGTCGTCGCACCTGTCACCGAGGAGGAGAACGCGTCGACAGCGTAGATACAACAACGACAACCACCGCCGCAGGTGCGCGACACTGTCGTTTCGCGGCAGGAATTCACTGGCGTCGTGTCGCGGGCGTCGGACAACGTCACGTCGCGAGGACCGTCCGCGGCGCCACCGATGACAGCCCCGTCGGTAACAGTGGTCGTGACAGCGAGCACGCTTCTGTTCTCAGGGATGTCGATATTGTTATTATTATTCTTCTTCTTTCTATCACTAACACTAATGCAAAAACCGACACCACCACGGGAAACAAAGACACTCCCGCCGCCCACGCAGTTGCCGCCGCCTCCTCCTTCGCCGCGTCTTCCTCCGCCGCTGTTGCCGCTGACAGCGCCGGCGGCGGCGGCGGCGGCGACCGCAGCAGCAGCAGCCGCAGCCGGAGCAGCAGCAGCAGCGTCGATGCTCCTCTCACCGTTCACGAGTCGCTCGGACGGCGAGCCGACATTTGACATTTTCTCGACGCGACCGCGATCGTGGCCTCGATGCCACGGCGTCTACCGCGAGCATTTGCGGTCGCTACGAGCGTCCCGCGCGCTTGACCCGCGCACATTAAGCGTCCCTGACGTGCGCGTACCGTGACAACAATAACGCAAACGCCGTCGTCGTCGCTGTCGTCGTCGTCGCTGCGGCCGTCGCCGCCGCCGCCGCCGCCACCACCACCGCAGCCGCTGCTAACCGCTGTCGGCGTCGTCGTTTTCGTTTCGGTCGCTGTACCCGCTGTCGTTCGGTCACTTTTCGAGCGGATGCGACGCGATACGGACGAGAAGCACTCTTCTCCAGCCCTTAGCTTTGTAGTTCGAGGGGAATTCTCACGACGTTACGGACAACGGCGAGCGCCAGCGAGCACGCACGAGGTGTGCGAGCGCGGCGCCTCCGCTTCGTGTTTACTCCGACGGGATGGGACGATTCGCGCGCCGCGCCACGCCACGCCATGCCGTATCGCGCGTCGTGTTTCTTTTGACTTGATACAGTTGGCATTCTTTTCCATCGGAGGCCGCTATTTACAAATAGGCTAATGAAAACAAAATTATAATTGAGAAATACAATCTTTCATGTGGGGTAAAAAAATTTGCATTTGAGACGCTTCTTTTCCACGATTACGACTGATTCGCGATTGCGTCAGTTACAACGAGGTTAGGCTCTTAAAACTAACTACATATAGTAAGCAGTCAAAAGAACAATCGATAAATTTATTTCTCATAATTATCATGATTCGATGCATTATCCATCGAGAAATCTTATTGAATAATCTTTATCAGGTCATTTAAGGAAATTATGATACATTTGAAATTATAAAGTTTCATAGAGAATAGGATGTTTTTTACGCATTCAGTTATTTTTATAATACGAACAATATAGGGATATATTCATATTTCTTGTTCTGATATTCCAATCCTTTTTATTGGGATGATATATTGACATTAAAAGTATTATAAAACTAACACATTTTAAAAATATTTTAACATTTAAAATATATTTTATAGATAGACATCTCAATAGGAATACCAAATTTTGAATAATTGTTATAATTATACTAACTTTTGCGTACAAATAATAGATATTACCAGTCTAACGTTGTTTCTTTTGATTGGCAAGAATTCGTAGATTTATTTATAAAAGAATTGTCTAAACCTAAATGCTAATAACTGCATTACAAGAACTTATATGATAAGTGACAATAATCGATTAAAAAGGACATATGAGAGTTTTACATTATTTACAGTTTTGCGAGAGAAATTGAATTATTTATAAACGAGTACGATACACGAATGTTTAAAAGACGCTGGGTAACATATACAATAAATCTGGATTTTTCATCAGATTTTTTTTTAAATGACACATTTCGAACAAAATAGGTAAAAATCGATGAATTATTTAACGTATTATCAGGTAAACTTAGATGCCTTTTATTTTACAATAAATCCGTAAATTGTTGTAATAATAAAGCAGTTATTACAAATGAGTATTCTTTGAAAATGTGGTCACAGGCACGTAAAAACAAATGAAACATTATATCCATCTGCTACATCTATGAAATAATGATCAGCACAAGTTCCTGAGTTACGTTTAATATATCAATATGTTTTATGTATGTTTTTTTATGTATTCCATTAAAATTAATTTAAAAAGTATACCGTTAAAATAATTTAAAAAGATTGACCTTGATATATCCTTAAATATTAATCAAATCTACGTACATACAACATAAATATAATTATTTCCTACGCTATGCACAATACTAGTCTTTACATATTCCTGTATTTACAATTATCTCAACATCATTCTTTCCATTCTCATTCGGATGAAACTTGCGTTTCGGTTTACACATAATAAAATATTCTTCAAATTTCTGTTATAAATTATTTCATAAAAAGGCAAGTGATACCCTCCTCCCCCACATTTGAGAGATAATCATTCTATTTTTCTTTTTAACAATTTCAATTCCCCTACAATAACGTGATCTGATTATATTTCGATAGTGGGAACATACAAGTTTTTCATGCGCTACTATAAAACCGTTATTCTATAAAAAATATTCCAATTGTATTTCCATTATTAGTTTCTGAAGATATACGATTTTACGCGATACCGCGTTAAAAATTTGTTTAACGAAGCGATACGGATTTACCGATGTAAAACGAATTGATAATAGAAGGTTCGATGATAAAAATAAGATTCTTCCAACATTATACTCCGTCTATAGGTCTTTTTATGACTAGAGCTGTAATCTTTCGTATCAGTATAACTAATGGCATACATTACTGTTTCTAGAGTAAGAAACAAATCATTGATCAGAAAGACTTTGTAAAAGAATTATATTTCGCGATGACTTTTTCCCTCGTTGAATGCGATATAGGAACTAAGATTAAGTTTACAACTTTAATCTAGCTGGTTTTGCGAAATTACGCGAATTTACGCGTACACGATACGAGTTGGAACGGAATTTCTGAGATAAAAAATTAAAAATAAAACGGCTAAAAATTAATTAAATAATAGAAAGTTATGATTTCCAAATTGGCACTATTGCGGATTACGTTGTAATATACGTCGCGATTGCACATGAGTATTCGTCAGATATTGCGCAGGGACAGAATGTTGGAAGCGCGTTGATAGATAGACTATAAAATAATGTGTCGCTTTTGCCAAATCGCTGAGTTTCTCGACAAAAATAGAGAAAGAAAAAGAGAGAATGAACGCACTCATTCGTGCCGATATAGATTACGTTTTCGAAAACCATTTTACCCATTTTGACATCTTATTGGTATGATATTTGTCTGAACATACTGCTGATCTCTTCCATAGTCTTGTTCTTCGTCTCTGGCACTTTCTTATATATGAAGATCGTGAAGAACAACTGCAGTACCGCAAAGATGATGAACACGTAAGCGCCTAACACCTCCTGCAGCGGCAAGAAGCCAATGCTGACGATAAAGTTTGCAGTCCAATTCACAGCGATAGCGATGGAGGTGGCAGATGGTCGGGCGGATTGATTGAACAACTCGGATACCAAGAACCAGGGGATACTTCCTGGTCCGGTAGCGAACAGGACAACGAACATGATGACAAGCACAATCGAGAAGTACGCCGCTGTCCGCGATGTTTCCTAAAATGCACAGATAAAAAGTTATGACTTCAAAATTATGCGTCTTAATTAATTAAACGGAAATTGTACTTACAGCGAATAAAAGACAAATAGCGAGTAAAACGGTATCTAGGAACATGCCGGAAAATCCGACCAGGAGCAGCGTTTTCCTGCCTGCTTTTTCTACCAACACCAAAGAGATGATAGTCATGAAGACGTTCATCGCGCCGACACCCATCGTAGCGTTCTGAGCAGCGTGCTTGTCGAGCTGCGCCATCCTGAAAATCTTCGTCGAGAAGAACATAACGGCGTTGATGCCAGACAGTTGCTGGGCAAACATTATCATGATCGAGATGAATAGCGGAATGCGAAGAGCTGGATTCACAAACAGCTCGCGGAGAGTAACCTTCGGCACCATTTTCACTGATTCATATTCCGCTCGCATCTCTTCCATCTCGTCGTGGACTTCGATCGTACCTCGTAACCAGGACAATGCTATCGAAGAGAAAAAGAAAATGATATTTGTGAGAAAGACGGAAATTCAAACAAAGCTAAGAAAGCGAACAAAAGATTCGAACTTGTGATGCGTAAAACGACGGATTCAAAAAGGCGATGTATAATATCTTTGCAAGATGCTCAAAGATAAATCCCTTTCATTGTATTTTCTTTTATTTATGATTCATCATTATTCAATATTCATCGTTTTTTAGTCGTTTTAAGTCGCCATTTCTATGTCATTTGTATTTATCAATTTTATTCTTACCTCTTTGCGCATCCATATCTTTGCCACGGGTGAGTAACAGGTATTTTGGACTCTCCGGACAGAGAGGCAGCGTGCACATCTGGAAGAGCGCAGGTACGATCGTCAGACACAGCAGCAACGGCCATTGCTCAGCAGTGCCGAGGATTTGTTCCAGACCCAGGATTTGCGACACCAAGATTGAGATAGTGATGACCAATTGATACACCGTGCCCACGGCACCTCGCAGATGCACAGGGGAGATTTCGGCCAGGTACATCGGCGCTAGACCGGCATTCAGACCGGAATTTATACCGATCAGGAACCTGCCGATGATTATCATTTCATAGCTTCTTGCCGCCTTAGCACTACCCTCGAAGATCACAGTTAGCAGGACCAGGATGTTGTTCAGTAGTAGACCGCCCTTTCTGCCGAAGCGGTCCGCCACCCAGCCGACCAGACAACCACCTATCATTCCACCGACGCAAAATATCGATACCGCCAATGACCAGATTAACGTTACTTCCGTCTTTGTCGTTGGGATGCCCGTGCGATTCGTCTTCAGGTCTTTAATCCAATCCTCAATGAGCTGGAATATGTTAGAACATTTATTTAATAATTTTCATCATTTTCATTTTTCAGATAAATATTTTTGCAAATACTCGATGTAAGATTTTTTAAAAATGTATCTTATTGAATTAATATCCATACCTGCTGAGGTGCGTTAACGACTCCGGTGTTATATCCATGTTGAAACGATGAGCCAAGAGCAGCTGCCGCGATTGCGAATGCTAACCGTCCGTTGAAACCCTACGGCAGAAATCGATAATCGAATTTTTATTTTAAAGTTACTTACTAGTTTTATTTAAAGTTACTACAGACTTTTATATTATTTATCTAATATCAGAACAGGGGCTATTTATTGCACATAGTCAATTTATTTAATACGTTTCTATAATAGGTTTCGTTTAATTTTTGGATATTAAAATTTAAACATATTTTCTTTGAATAGCTTCGAAATGACGTCTTTATTCCTTCCTAAAATGCAAATATCAATAAGATGTATATTAATGAAGCGATGAATATGCATCGCGCAAGTATAGTGTGATAAATATTGCCTGACATCGGAAGTCAAGTCGGAAAAATTAAGCGTACGAGTAACGAATCGCGAAACATTCTCATCAAGTAATCTCTTGATTTTAAAATAGAGTCTAGTATTTATGAAAAATATTTTTTAAATTAAAAGGGAAGTTTTCCAATTTTCCAGCACACAAATTTCATTTCTTCTCTTTCCTTTTTAATTCTGGTAAGAGTACTTTATCGGGAACAAGTGCGTACCGCTCTTTTCAGAGATGGTATCTCGAGGTCAGTTGATTTTATCGTCATCGTCCTGAAGACTTTTTTCGCGCACCTTCGAACAGTCTTTGATACTTCACTTTCACCGATACTCGACTTTCGATTCACGTGCGTGAGAATTGCGTGCGTCGTTTCGTCTCGCGACGTCAACGTAGGATCGTTCTTTAGTTTTCCCGGAACACGTGCTGAAGACTGCCGGGTCGGTACCCCCGCTGAACGTTCTTATACTGGAAGACGACACACACGTACGCGTACGCACGCATACACGTGTACACGCACAGTAGCACGAACACGTTTCCATCCGGAAGATTCATACACGTCGCGTGTGTGCGTATATATTCGCGTTATGCGTTATTTAATACGACGCCGCGCTACTCATTACTCAATGATCTTTTTCTTGCTGGGTTTACATAATGCAAACATGCATACATACATATTATTTCCATGGAGGACCGATACTTCGTTACGTTAACGTTAAACGCGGGAGCTTGTGTACCGAGCCAATGGCGTAAGCTACATGTGTGAATTGAATTTTATTGAAACGAATCTCTCTCTCTCTATTTGAGGAACGATATATATCGCCAAAACATTCTCTCGGGAATTAAATAAATAATAATTGACATAATCTTTCTTTTTATAAATATTACAATAACTGGGTGAGGAAGAATATAGAAAATGCAGGGGTCATATTATAGCAAGAATCGCGAAGTGAAGTGCATCATCATCATCATTATGTTTCAGACGCGTGTGTTTACATATGCATAATACTTGCATATGTTTTATCGATGCAATTTTAATAATGTTGCGAGCCTTCTTTGACGTCGGCAATCCGATAATCGAGTGTACTTTGTACGCGGATGCACAACAATATTACACACACACACACACACACACACACACACTCTCTCTCTCTCTCTCTCTCTCTCTCTCTCTCTCTTCAGCACAAATAAAATTTCTACAAAACATTGGATAGTGGAATTTTTTATTTTGGATAATAGAATTTCTTAAAAACATTAGACTTTAAATTCTTCTTACAAAATAAATAGCATATTCATAATTTATATCGTGGCCGCTGCTTTTCACTTCATTTCTCTTTCATCTTATGTCTCAAAATTTCTGCCAGAGTATGCGTTTTTTTACTCTACTGTAAGTGGAGAAAGAGAGCAAAAAAATAAACAAATCTATTAGAACATTTACGCGACAGTAACTTTCCGCTTTACAATTTTGTCTCTGTAAGATAATCCAATTCTTAAAATTGACGCGAGGAAAATCAGATCTTGTCGAGGAGTCAAGCTAAGTTAAAAGATGTAGTATGCAATTCGCTCGGACGCGCGTCAACTTATACGCGGTTATTATAAACATCCGATTTTGCGGCGGATTATTGTTTTTTAACGTTATACTAAAAAGTATAACTCTTGTTATCTCGCGCCTTTTTATGCGCCGATGCAAATGAGAGATCCAAAGTTTGCACAATGCGCGATGCTAAGTTCTCGGGTCTCGTGATGCATCGATCATTGGTCACTCGTCCCACAAATTTCTCACGCAAATAACAGGGGATCTGTACTGTGTAAGCAACATTTCTTCCATGAAAAAGTTGTTAAACTGCGCAACGTAAGCTGTCTCACTGTTGCATTCTCGCCGTTTCGCCCGCTGATTCGCAACTATTGTAACGTAAACAAGACAACAAAGTCCACGCGTCGCATAATAATAACGGAGAACGATACAATATCGCGATACAGTTTCGCAAATAGAAAATGCAAAGAAAGAAGCGTTACGTAAAAGCACTTACTCGGCGAGTCTCAATTGTTTGTCTTGTCAATTTTTTTCGTCGTTTAATATTTATTAGTAATGTGGATGGAAGCGTACGATGCCGTATATGTTTTCAGTTGACAGAATAATCAGAGTATGATATTATGTCGAAATTTATTTCTCGTGTTCAAAAGTTATTTAATTAAAATAAATTTTATATTAATATACTTTATATATAAAATCGATATTGAAGGGAGAGAAATAGAAACAAATAAAGATATTTAATTATCGGTTAAAAATTTTGAAATTGCATACTTAAGGATCAATATTTTGGATAAAAGGATTTTTACCGATCTTATCGATTATAATTAAATTGTTTTTTCTGTAAATATAATATTATGCCACATATATTCGTAACTATTGTGAAAATAAAAGAAAAAATGCAATCAGGCAAAAGGTATAAACAAATGTTCTAAATCTATTTTTCTCAACGTAATATTCATTTCATTATCAATGTATCATTACCAATATCGTAAACTCGATGTTGAGAGAAGAAATTATCAATGCTAAAGCGACTTGTAAATTTATATGTAACATTTATATGTAATATTCAATCTTTAAAGATTTATAATTATCTAATTTCCATACATTATATTTGTGTAATATAGATGTATATATATATTTAAGAAAGAAAAAGCCACAAAAAGTCAATATGAAATGAAATAATTTATATAAAATAAAAAAAATAGCAAATAGAATAGCAAGCAATTAAAAAACATTCATTGACTTAAACATCTAGATGAGAATCTCTAGATCTCATCTAGATGAGATAAATTAACAAAATGTTTCTCAAATGTGTTTAAATCGTTTTTTAATTCCTGTTTTTTAATAAAATTTTAATGACTGTGTTATAAGCATTGTTTAATGTTGAAAATTGATAAATAATAAATGGCCGCAGGTATGCAGACCTGCGCAAGGATGTCGACCCTTAGGCAATTGATTCCTAGTGTCTCGTAATTGGATGCACATATTTCTATGAGATTGATATTGATCGCATGCATGACGCAGACGACGGATAAAGTGATTTAGATCATGGTCAACAAATACAATCAGAAACCTTGAAGAAGAAACGACCTGAAATCATGTCGCTATATCATCTACCATTATCAAGTTTTCTCTTACTTTCTCAAATTTTGTATTACACTTTTGAATTTTGAGGTTTAAATAAGCTATTATAATAAAGTTCTATCAATCTTTTTCAATCCAATTGTTTTATCTTTGTAACAGAAAATGCGTATTTTATTCAGACGTTATTAACTTTTAACTAATCACTGAAGAATGATAGAAGTCTGACAGAAAGATACAACGATATTTCTGCAGGAAAATTGTTAAATTGGAAGAAAAGATGGTAAGAATTTATATTCGTGAAATTGAATTTCTAATATGACGAGGCGAGGTATTAGCTGTTAAATTGAATTTTTTCCTTTCTCTGTTGCTCTATTCTTAGTAATAATTCAAAATTGAATTCGACTTGACATTACACTTTATAATATAATTCAAGTATAAAAAGTTTATTTTTTCCATCACCTTTGGAATACGTTATTTAATTTAAAGAAACTCGTGTTTAAATTGCAAAGGAATAATTCACGATTTCCAAGATATTTCCAAACTAATTCCTATATCTCGCGATACATTTCCCGCACTAGCTTTTTTTATTTTTTATTAAACATTTTGAGAATATTTTGCTCGAGCGAGTCGTTGATCGAAGGCGACGCCTATGATCCTCGCAACGGTTGACCGTTTAAGCATTAGAAATGTGTGGTATGCACAGTGTGGACCACGTACACACACTACACATCACACACACACACACACACACACGCGCGCGCGCGCGCGCGCAATCGCGGTCACGCATGAACACGCGTAAGAGGATTTTCGTCGTTCCCTACGTAACAAATTTTCAGACCACCGTGACGTCTCAAAGAACGACCTATTCCTCCATGCGTGTGTATGTACGTGCGTGTGCGCCACGAAATCCTCTCGTGGCTCACATTGGCCGTGGTGAAGGCGTGTCTCGACACGATTGGTGCAGCGAGCGGTCGAGCCCCCCCGAGAGAACGGCGACGGGAAGCTTGGATAAGCTAAAAATAGCCCGAGTGTTGGCGCGCGAGCGCGACGCTCGTCGCCGTTCGTCCGAGCGTATACGCCGCCTGTTTTCGAGACGCCGTTGTCCTGGTTACCTCGCCAAGCTGCTAATTTCGACGTGCCACGAGACCGCCTGCGAAAAGAACGCGTGCCCCCGTACAAGGTCCGCGACTGTTCTTGCCTCTTTCGATATGAATATCTTTGTTCCCTCTCGACATACGCACAATAACCGCTCTCCTATCTCCCTACTCTCCTTTCCGCTCCTCTCTCGATTCAATGACTTTTCGATGACTTTATCTTAACGATAAATCTCGCGAGAGAAATTTGATTAAAACGGAAGGGCTTCGTATTATCCTCTTGCTATTAGGCGATAGAAGATACCCGACCTAGTAGTCACCCTCCTGGAAAAATATCGGACAACTCAATGAACGCTTTATAAAAAAAAAAAAAATAGCTTTCGGTATTTAGAATACGGTCACCGCATCGTTATCGGGATGATGACATTACGGACGAGGTTTCAATGATCGTTTTACTGAAAAATTGAAAACGATATGTATATACGTAATATGTTAATTTCTACCGATAAGCTACACGTATAGAATTACAGTTTATCTTTATTTTTTTTTAGATCAAAGTTGTCTTTTTTTTTATCTTTTAATTTTATTCTCATTATCTTAACAAAAAAGGTGACATAGAAGGTCTCGGACTTTGTTCTTCGGAATGATCGAATGCTGTAGAGAAGATCGACTTTATAGCACACCTATCATTAATATGGATAATTTCTTACGCAGTTATAAAACGATTGATATGATACGTAGTAAGATTTAACGATAATCGATTTTGCGCATTATAATAATCATGCATAATCTCCTTCTTGGAATCCCACAAAGGTAATGACACACAGCGCTAATCATTTTAGCTATGTTAATCATCGAAGTGTTACGAACACCTTAAGAACGTGAAAAGTTGCGTATTTCCACTAGACAAAGGATTCAATTACCATTTGTGTCAGATTGTTCCGCATGACTAACATTTTCTAAGCCGGTGCTATTTTTTTTTTTGCAGGACTTATTAAAATTCAACGCGCGTTGATAGCGTATCGCTTCATGTGTCGCGAAAATGTGTGTCTGATAACGAGGTACATTGGAGCGTTCGAATAACTCTCGTTACTCATACATCGCATTCAAGATGTACTGATGAGCCACTTCCTCCGTTTTTCATTATTATCGAATTGCGGTGAATTGCAGCGCGATGCGATAATTACACCTTTACAGAACACCAAACTCAAACAACTTGAATTTTCGAAGAACTTTATTTGGTATTTCATCTATAATATATTTGTAAAAGAAGATTAAACAATATATCTTATGATTCTTGGAATTGCACGATATTGGAATTGCAGAATATGAATTTATTAATTTCTTTGCAATACTTTTATGACTTGAGCAAACGACAATTTTATTTCGAGATCTGACAAGCTATACTGAATTTTAAATATAAAATTTAAAATTTGCATAACAAAAATATTATAGAAATTATTTGCCTTCAGATTACGGATAATATACACTGTCAAAAATATTTACAGAAGGAACAATCGTAATC